GCGGGGTGAGGGGGGCGGGCCGTTCTCTCCCGAGTGAACCAACTCCACCGCGGCCGGATTCAGAGTTCCGCGGCTAACCTCTGACGGCAGGCGTGTCGCCCGTCGCTCCTCGGATGCGATTACAAACGTGCGTGCAGTGCTTTCTGTTTTCACCGTTGCGTTCGGCTCGCTTCGTCATCATTGCCAAGCCAAAACACCCCCGCCCCGAGGCTCCCCGTCCAGGAACTCGAGCGAAAATCCCTGTGCGGATCGGCGGCGTTGTGTGCGATCATCCCGAGCCGCGTTTGTAAACAAACTCAAAGTGCGTTGACCAATCCCCCGCGCCCGCGCGCCGCGGCAAGAGCGTCGAGAAAAAATCGCGGGTTAGTGACAGTGTGAAATCCGGACGAGTTGCACGAGTGGTGGTGTGATTGTGCAGTGATGAGAGGAAATTCTATATTTTTTCAAGCTTACGTTTTTCTAAACCTAGCAAATTGTTGTTGTCTCTTTCGAATTTTATCTCGTTGATTTGAAAATTGGATTTACCTATTGGCTGTAACGTTTGTTCACCCATCTTTACATCGACTGGCATCATGTATCCGCTCTTCAGTTCCAAGTTTTCATCGGTGAGTCCGATTCTGTGCTCAATTGATACTTAATACTTTCCAAGCATGCTATTTCTCGCTACCCAGCAACAGGTATGTACTTGCTGCACGTCGCGAGGGTTTGGTCCCGAACGGTTTAAGAGAAGGGTTAGGAATGGTCAAGACACCTCAAATTGAGCTGCAAATTAGGTATCTAAGTAAAAAATGTTCCATCTGCAGAGAAATTGAAGTCCTATTAGGTCTAACAATCAGCGATTCTCCATGCAGAGATTTGCTGTCGTGATGTGTCTCATATTTACTGATCAGCGTCGGATTCCTAAGTGTTTTCTTACCCGCCTTACTGAGGAATCGGTTGCGTTTGATTGTTCGGTCAGTTTTCGTAAAAGTTGTGCTCCTTCTCTTACGGTTATTTCATGTGAAATGATATCGAAATCCTTCGGCAAGGATCAAGGATCTCTAGGTTCATGTGTCATGGTATTAATTAATTTTTTTTCTAAGACTCAAGAAGTATCTTACTAAAAGGAAGACTCTCGAGGCCTCATTTTGTGGACACTTAACACATTAATTTAAATTGAAGCCGCCCCTCCCCCTCCACCTTATCAATTTCTGTGTTTATGTCTGATTTCACGGTTTGAGCAATGTGTCTGTAAGTTAGCTTTTAAAATGATAAAACCGTGGTTTGCACTATTTCAATCAAAATACTGTGAAGATTCTCTAATCCAACATCAGATTTTGATTGTGTGTGACGGATCTAGTGATTTTCCGGTACGAACACTAGATCATGGCGATAAAATAACCATAGCACATTTCACAATCAGTAAGGCGAATACCTAAGGCATTAGCAAACTTCATACCTACCGTAGAAAACAGAAAACACATATTGATATCCAAGAACATAGGTAGGTAGTGTATTAGTGCAAATAATTTGAAGAGGATATATTTTTGGAATTAAGTTCGTAGCGCTCAAAAGCAGTACGGTCTTAAAAGAACTTTACATACGTACTTGCAACATGATAGAATTACATGCAGGTCATCCACTCCACAACAACTTGAGCCCATTTAAAGTATATCTATCTACAAGATTTCATCTCTTACCTACTCACTTACTTCTCGAAATTCTTTGAGGTTTGCATATCGACGGTGAAACTGAAAAATGTTTGTCTCTGTTGTTGTATCTCAAAAACTCCGTTACTGTTATATTTTTTAAAAGGAGATCAAACAAACATGATGACTTACAATTTTTACACGAGCTTCTTAACAGGGAGAAAAATAAATTGAAAAGGAGATTTCGAGAAATGATGTTTAGTTTTCCTGTGGAAAATATGATATGACGATAAGTCTGGAACGCCGCAAATCTATGTACTTAGGTAAGCATTTATTCAGTTCACCATCGGTATGCTCAAAGAACCAAGTGGTTTTTTCCCCCAATATTTTAGGTCAATTTCTCATTTATTATTATTTTTTTTTTTTAATTTCACTTAATGTTAGAATCAGGAAAAAGGGGGTTTCTTTTCCAGTGCTTTCGGTACGAACGATTTTTAATTGTAAGGCAGGTTCAGAGCTGCTAAAAACCTATAGATTTCAATGAATGAAACTGATGTAACTCGATTTCGATGCTGCGGTATGAGAGACAGCTCAAAACTTTAAGTCATACGTGAATTTTTAAACTTTGAAGCAGTTTATATCGACGGTTCATATTCTCTAAACAGTCCAAAGAGCCGATTATACTTTATATAAATCCTAATGACAGAATTATGATGCCTCCCATAAAAATTAATCGATCGAATCGGTCAGTAGGTACTGAAGCAGTTAAGTGCATTCTTGAGTCAGATATTGCAAATATACTGTGTATAAGTGCATTCTTGAGTCAGATAATGCAAATATACTGTGTGAATTTTTTTCATAGTTCACCTCTTTTGTCGTGTAATCTCGTTTGCGCGTCGAAGAAAGTGATTTTAAAGTCTTAAGATCAAAAACAATTCATTAAAAAAAGCCTTATAATAATTTATTTGCCACGAAATTCCAGCACATTTAGAGAACGTAGGTAAACGGCAATTTTCACACTGACGCGTCAAATAGCTACTTTTAAATGTATGTATTGTCTATCGAAGCGGAAGTGTATCTATCAAGTGTATCTATCAAGTTTACCTATCCATGCATTATTACTCCTGTTATGGAGGAAAATGCATACGTCTGTACTTTTGTGAATTTGTTCATTTTTTTCAATACTTGCTTACTTCGAACAAAAATGCCAGTACCGAACAACACTCTTTGACTACTCAACTACGATCTTGAATTTTTTTCTAAGTGTGGAAGCATCAAATACCTACCAATTTAGAATTTGCAATCTTCTAACCAACAGAGTCCGATGAGACTCTTAAGGGCCTCATTCATTTTTGACTCTTTTTCAGTATGCAAGCTCCGGATACAAATTCAGAATTCGTATTTGATACTAACGCATATAGTCAGATCCCTGTCCCTACGATAGAATATCACTTGCCAGACGAAGAATAATAATTTAATAAAATTCAAATAATCTTCTCCGTAATTTTACCACCGAGAAGAAGTAATCGACCGTTTAAACCCATAGGTTTTCAATTTTGGAAATCATATTGCGTATTATGTGTCCAGAAGCAGGCTTCTTCGGCTGTTTCCAAGATGATGGTTGAGACGGAAGAGGCGAATTCCTCCATGAAAACGTCCTCGTCAGAGCTCCATTCATAATCAATTTTTGAGTAAATAAAAAAGAGAATATCATTTGATGTAGACTGCGTTTGTTTGTCTCCCTCAAAGTGGTATAGTTACCTACTAATGTCTAGCCACTTTAAACCATTTCAGTATACATTCTGTCCTGTTAAACACCGAACCCTCTTATGTAGGTGAAACTATAGTACCGAGTTCAGAAAAACTGAGTTTTTGCGAAACTATTAACCTCTATCTACATTTTTGGCTAAAAACGGATCCATTTCAGGTACGTTTATCAACAAAAATGTATTGTACAGCAGAGAATCTCGTGTTCAATTTGACTATTAGTATGCAATATTCTGCGTTCGAATACTCCCAATTTTATTGTGCAGAGAGTTGAGGGAATGATACCTTTTGAGAACGAACGGGTGAAATGTGCCACTAGGGGCAATGGGTCAGTTTTCTTCCAAACGTCTAAAATGTTTATTTGAAAATTTGTTCGAATTATCGATGTTGGTCCACATTAAGAGTCTCGAATAATGATTGTACGGAATATAAAGGCTTAAGCGATTCCCCAAAGGCATCTCATTGATTCTATTATCGGTGTAATTATTTTCGGAACCCTGTCGCGGATTGCGGTTACAATCATACGAACATTGATTGGATTTAGGTGTTTTGCACGGAACGAACTCGGAGCGGAGCGGAGCGGAGCGACGCGAAATTAGAAACATTGAAAACGGATCAACAAAAAACAGCGAATGACGCACACGGTGGAAATCTGCCGCGGCGGTAATTAAGTTAGATTTCTGAATTTATTTCTGACGCGTACAACAATCCACGAGTGATTCGCGTGTTCGGTATCAGGTGCGAAATCCTCCCCCGAAATCCCGCTCTCGGCGTCGCGAGAAAAAACCGACTTCCAGGGAAAGCGGAGGAAAACTCGACTTTCGGATGAAATGGAAACCCATTTACGACTTGACGGCAGACGCAAGTCGGAGAGTTCTTCGAAATGCTCGCAGACATGTTGGTGAAAAATGTTTGCCCCTTCACGCATCTCCGATTATTGCGAACGGTAGTAGGAGGTTCATTAAAACACTTGTTCCAGACTCATTTAATCAAGGCTCCTTCGTATTTCTCTGAATGTAGGTATAGTCAACTGATGACGCCATGTTTGACAGAGCAGAAAAAATCGCAAAATCGAACGCAAGAGTCGGGCCGCAACTACTATTCAAAATGGACGGATTTATGGCGAAAGAAACTATGTAAAAATAAATTAAGCCAAAATGATAAGTCTCGTACATTAAATTTGCGTGCGCTTTGTAATTTATTTTAACATAAAAACGCAGAACGCATTCTTGACACGGAACATTTTCTATTTAGTTTTGTAAATCAAAGCAAAAAAACGAAACTCCCTTCTGAATCTTTTTCATTTTTCCCCTCAAACTCCAAATACTTAATCTATTACAAAAAAACCTACCAGCACTCATTTTTTCATATATTTTGTGAGATTAGGTGTGACAAACCATTAAATATTCATTTTGAGAAAATGAAGGATATTGATGATCAGGTTTCCGTGACCAGTTTGTTAGGAAGATAATAGCAAAACCTTGAATAATTGGTCTATTGTTTTCCAATTTTTAAAACTTCATACTCACGCGATATATTTCTGATACCTGAGCATTTTGGGTGCCTGTAGGTACTCATTTTATTCCGAGTTTCAATTCCGAGTTTCCAATCTACCATTATCGGCGTCTATCCCAAGTAGCATATATGAACGAAACAATTGCGATATTTTACAATTTTTTGGCGATAAATCGCTAGGATCATCAACATCTGAGCAATTATCCTCGATCTTGTCGCTATTTTGTCTCTATAAAAACACGTTCAATAAAATCGAAATTTTATCTCAATATATTACGATTTCCTGTTCGATAATATTGCGATCAATCGCCGTCAACAAAATTGTCATTTCATATCACATTATTGCAATGGAATCGATTCCTTACGAGTTTTTGGCGATACAATGGCTAGGATCATCAACTTCTGAGCAATTATCCTCAATCTTGTCGCAATTTTATTTCTATAAAATCGCTTCCGATAAAATCGAAATTTTATATACATTTATTACGATTTTTGTTGAAAAGTATTGCGAAAAATCGCCGTCGAAAATTGTCATTTTATCACATATTATTGCAATAGAATCGCAATTTATCGCAATTTTTTATCGCGATGATAAGCAATAAATCGACGCGATACATTCTCCAATCAAATTGCAACTGATAGCGATCACTGCTACTCGAGATATCCGAAATCCGATGCGGAAAAGCCAGAGAAAA